CGCGGGTCCGGGTCCCGGCCGGGCCGCAGGCCGCGCGTCCGGGGGCGTCGGGCTCGCCGGCTGTCTGGTGAGCTGGGCCGCCGAGGCGAATCGGGCCGCCTCGTCCGCTTTCCGGTGCTGTGGCTCGGTCAGGCGCGGCAAGTGCGCACGGTCGGGGCTGTTCTCATTATTCGGGGGTGTGCGTAAGGCATACTTTTAAAATACGATCGGAGAGAAACGTGCTGTGCAACATTACAAAGTATCAGGAGCGATGCGTCCGGAGAAAGCGGTGCCATTGTACAGACTCTGGATTAGCGATCTCCAGCCCCTTCTTCAGAATTTTTTTTTCTTTTTTCCCCCTTGTTTTCCCTGTGTTTTTTGTCCGAGTGGATTTTTCTTACCGAGAATGAAGTGATCGCTGGAAAATAGCCCACAGAAGGTCGCTGCCGACGCAGGGAAGGTCCTGCCTTTAGCCCGTCTTACAGCAGGTTGCCGGTGTTCCAGTTCCTGTAGCCATCAAGAACTTCTGTTTGGAAACGCGTCTTGCGGCTTTTCCTTCCAATTTCTACGCTTCGTCTGGATCAAGTGGTCAGCGCCGAGGCCTCCAGCCCGAGTGGGCGGGGACCGGAAGGCATCCTCTCCGGGGAGAGCCGGTCCTTGCTCCTCCTACGTGGTGGGAAAGCTCCCTGCTCCCGGCCGGCGGGGAGACGCGGGCTCCAGGTCACACCCAGCTTCTCCACCTCTGAGTCGCTGGGCAGTGAGTCCGGCCGGCTGCACAGCACCCCGTCATCTGGCGCCTGGCTAGCTCTGTAGCAGGCCTGCTGCCCCGCAGGTCTCCCGCTGCGGTCCTTGCTCTTGGTGATCATGTGAAAGAAAACGAAAGCCTGTGTTTGCAGGAGAAAGCTTCTACTGGAAAGAAAGAGAACATGGTGAGGGACTTAAGCAGCCCTCCACAAAGGAGAAACAGGAGAGGACCCTGCTTGGGCGGCTTGAGGGGGCGCCCTCGGAGGAAGGGGTCTGAGAGGGCCCACAAGTCAGTTTTTATCCAGCTGTGCCTTGGGGTGGGTGGAGATGTAGACATGCCGAAGACAAAAGCAATTTAGTGACCTAGGGAGACCCTGCCTCGAAGAACAAAAAGGGCTGGGGATGTTGCTCCCTCCAGCCAGACTGTTTTTTCTTTTTTCTTTTTTTAATGTGTCTGGTACAGGGTCTCACTGTGCAGCTCAGACTCGTAGTGATCCTCCTGTTTTCAGCCTCCCCAGCGCTGGGATTGCAGGCCTGCACCACCACGCCCGGCCTCAGTGCCACTGGCATATGGCGCCAGGGGTGGGATCCGGGTTCCTGCACTTGCCCAAGCAGGCACTTGGTCCACGGAGCTATCTTGCTGGCCCCACAGACTTTGGTTCTCAACCAGTATCAAAAACACAAATACTTGCACATTTTTCCTCCCTGCCCCCAAATCTGCCCTTTCCTTCTGTGCGGAAGGGGCGATCCCAAAAACCTCCAGTGCCCGCCACAGCCATGAGCAGCTTCACCCCTCCCCTCCAGGATCAGGTGTTCTTTTTTTTTTTTTTTTTT